GTGCGGGACAACGATTCGGAAATGACGGGACATGAATTTACGTTAGAGTTACTTCACCGTAATCCTCTACAATGCCTTGAAGTGCTACGCATGTCCCGTGAATCATTTGTCCGGCTATGTGCTCATTTTAGAGTAAACTACGCGTTAAAGGATAGCAAACATGTGTCGGTTGAGGAGAAGATGGCTATGTTTTTGATGATGATCGGTTATAACCAACGTTATGTGATTATCAAGCGGAGATTTCAACACTCAAAGCAAACAATTCATAAGTTTTTTCATGAAGTGTTGGACAAAATGTTGCTTTTCGCACATGACATTATAGTACCAACTTCTTTTAATCCGAATCCAAACATTCCGGGACATAATAGGAGGCTACGGTGGGTGTTCAAGGGAGCAGTTGGTGCACTTGATGGCACTTTGATACATGTTGTTGTCCCTGCAAACAAACGGGATTTATATAGAAGTAGGGGAAAAGGCGATTGTTACAAAAACGTATTGGCAATATGTGACTTCAACATGATGTTACGTTTGTTGTTGCCAGTTGGGAAGGGATAGCACACGATTCTAGAATTTTATCAGAAGCATTAGCAAATCCACATGCACCATTCCCGCTTCCACCTCCAGGTAAATTTATGGTTATTTAAATAGTTTTATCTTTATTTGAAAAATAAATGACTTTTTTTTGTTTTTTTTATAGATAAATATTATCTTTGTGATGCCGCCTATGCAAACATTCGAGGTTTTATGGCACCGTACCGTAATGTTAGGTATTGGCTTGGAGATTTCTGTCGAAGACGTGCATTAACGAATAAAGAAAAATTTAACCATGGACACGCAAAACTTCGGAATGTCATTGAGCGTGTTTTTGGTGTCTTGAAAGCACGATTCTCTATATTGAAGAGGATGACACCGTTACGGTCGTTGATAATGATGAAGATGAGATTCCAACACATGGTACTGCAGCGGACCGTGAATATATGAGCCGGGATGAAATTGCCGAACAATTGATGCAAAATATGGAATGAAAATTATTAAAGTTTGGTTGTATGAATTTTATTTAAAAATGTTATTGTAAGACTAATTTCGTTGTTTGAATTTTATTTCAATGTTTTAAGACTACAATTATTAAAATTTTGCTATTAACAAACTATTTTTGGTTTATTAAATTACTTTATTTTAAATTTTTTAATATCTGCAGCAGTCTGCAAACGTTAAAAAAACAAACATGCTTCTCATTACAGTCTGCAGCACTTTGGTCCACCTCTTCTGCTGCAGAGGACTGCAGAGGTGGTCGGCAGACTTCAGACAGTTTCACTTCGGAAAAACAAACAGCACCTACGTATTGAAACAAAATGACAGGGGTATATTTGTCTTTCGCAACAGCTGATAGACCTTGCCCTTCACTGGCTATTATCAGGGGGAGAACTAGCACTCAAGTCACCGCTCTACACGAAACCAATCCAAAATTCTTCCAAATTCTCTTTTCCATTCGCATAAACTGTGTGGAAATATTTGATTCAGCCGCGTTTCAGATTGCGAGGAGAAGGAATCCATGACGATGGCGTGCAGAGCACTATTTCGAACTGTGATGCTCACGGAGCCATGGCGAACTTCCCCTAATCGTACCTCATTTACGTTATCCTTAGCCAATCAGAAATCCAGAAAACCAACTTCGAATTCCAGATGTGGATGTAGAATCGTTACACAAGTTGGAGATATATGTGCTGAAAGACGAATACATCACCGGGTTAATTGCTCTCATGAGGAGAACCTTCCGTCCTCGTCTACCGAGAGTGACCAGGAACCTCCTCAAGAAGCCGTTCTCAAGGCTATTTCAGGTACTAACGTGTATACCTGATTTCAAATTTCATTTGAGTTTCATACACTATATTGTTCGAAATTTTCGATTTGAGATGAAAGATTATGGAGATAAGAGTTTGCAAATGAAGGATTTTTATTATGTTTTCGAAAAATTATGGATATTAAGGAGCTTGAAAGATTTCGGTATATTAGTGGTTATGAGTAATGGATTGACTGATTTGCTGGTGCAATTCTGAGCCAGAATGTTTGGAACAATGATTTACTTACCACTGCCTGAATGTTGAAAATGCCGGATCATAACACTGATCATAAAGGTTTTCAATGATTGTTTTAACGCACATCCAAATCCAAACACCCCAATGCACAAATGACAAATGTGATTGCTAGATTTGAGATTGATTCATTTGGTATCAAATGGGACACGTATTTCTGAAAAAAACTCTTCTGATAATTCTGGAGTGGTAGCAAGTATTAATAATTTATGATATTTGGTTTGAGTTTGTGTGAATTTGATTCAGAAGTTTCAAAGACCGAAGGTAGAGTTGGACAAACCACAAACATGGTTCTTGGAGGTACAGTCACTGATGATTCAACAGACGAGTGGCTCACTCTTGATCAGAAGGTAGATCCTACCCCTACCTTTTTATCTTCATCTTTACTATATTATTAAGACATTTCTTGAAAACTTTAAGAGGTACAATCTATAAAACAACAAGTACCATAATCTAATGCAAACACTACTAATCTTTGTTTGGAAAACCAAACCATCAATCCTTACCAAATACAACAGACACCATGAATTGAGGAGGTGATAGTGGAAATCAATTAAAAATATTTAATTATTATGCTTGGACAGCTTGGTATACAACTTAACTATGCATAATTAAACTTAAATAGACCACTAATCTTTGCTAAAATCGGATTTATGGGAACTAAATTTGAATTATTGAATTCTCTTAATTATCTCTCTTTTTACATCCCGAATTCCCCCTACCTTCTCATATAAATCATCGCCTCCATCTACATTCTACAAGCAAGCATTGCAATGTCCCTGTATTACATAACAATAGAGGGAATTTATCTTTTAAGTTTATGTATAATAGCCATTTCTAATCCCATTTTTTATTGTGTGTATGCATGTTTGTTCCTTTTTAAGACTTCGTTATCATGCATACTTTATGTAGTTTCACTTTCAGTAATGTGTTAATTCTACATTTGTTTTCTCTATATACACAACGTAGACACGACTTTGCAATGGATTAATTGTTTGAGGATGGAGGTGTTACCATCAGTACCTCTTAATATATTTAAAAAAAACTTTGGGTAATGTGTTTTTTTCAAGATTTTTGTAATTATTATTTTTATCATTTTTGTAATACTACTTTTATACAAAATTTGTAATAATTTTGCAAAAAAAAATGTGATTGTGACAGACTTTATAAAAGGCAAATGCGAGTAGTTTTGTATATTGATTAATGTTTTAGGGAGTATATAAAAGGCAAATTGAGCTCACATGTTATTTGGTTATGAAATTCGTTTTATATATGCATAAATCCAAATAATTAAACAAATGTCTCAGAACAATGTATTGAAGATAATTAAAGCACATGCTCATAATTATGTATATATTCTTAAGTTTTTTAGTTTTACAAATGATCCAAACAAACTTGACCTATCGTTTTTGATTTCAAACACAACCAAAAATTAATCATAGTGAAGAACAAAAATTTACTATTTAAAAAAAAAAAAACAAACTCAACGTTTTTTGTTCATTTCGGCCAAAAACCGAACCACAACGCTCCATGCTCACCCTAACAATTTGTGTCCTGTTGCATTACACAACTAGTTATTCTTCAACTACATTGAGTTGGTTATATTGAACCCCCGCCCCCCCCCACCCAAGTATGTTTTTTTTTTTTTTTTTTTTAAATATATATTTTATTTTGAAATAGGTAAACACTTACCCAACAGTAAGAGGGTTTACAGCAATTGGAACCGGAGGTGATGATTTTGTCCAAGCAATGGTAGTTGCTGTCGAGTCTGTCCTTCAACATCCAATCCCACTGGTAATAATTTAGTGATGAAAGTAAACTGGAAAAGTTATATCATGATT